TAGATTTCTCTCTGAAAAGGTATGGTGTTTGCAAGTCAAGGCTTTAGATTATCTCCCAATTTCTTTTGCTCTGTTTTCATATACAGTCTTCAAAGGAAAAAGGAACCAATTGCTCAGTGACACTTGTGCTCAGAAGAATGAAATTCTAATTAGAAGGCACTGGCAAAAAGAAAATGGTGATTAATACAAGATCCGTACTACAAACTGTATCTTTTAGGAGAAGAATGCAGCTCAGCATATTTAGATTACTCAAAAGAGGCTGAAGAGGTGACTTGAACATTGTCTCAAGTCCCTACACCTGGTAGAGAGTTCTCAAAGTAGAAGGCCTTTCTACCTTGAAGGCAAAAGTATGACCAGATCCAGCACTGAGTGCTAGAGACGTCTGAACAAGAAAGAGACAATTTTATGTACATGTATTATACCAGGGGTAAGGTTATGACTAACAGTGATGTTTAATCAACCTAAAAATCATTCGACCATTGGAATTCAGTATTGCTAGATAAAAATAGAGAGTAATTCTAATTTACCTGCTTGGGAAAAGAAAATTATGTGGCCTAAGGACATTTATTCATATTTTGAGAGAGGTTGATCTCAGCATGTATCTGGAATAGTTAGCAGTGTATGAACTGGCATGGATAAGATAAGAACAGATCGACAGCTTCCATGAACACTTGCACTGCCCCTGAGCTTGAAGTTGTGCCTGCCGTTGTTTAGAACAGGAACGACAGGAGTTGAAACCAGGAAGACTGTCCAATCAAATTCGGTCTGACACATAGGAATGGAAAGTAAACCTTCAAACGTTAAGCCAATGGAAGGTTTCTGTCTGTAAAATGGAAGCAGTTGGTTTAGAAACAAGCCTTCCCCTGCAGCATTTTCAGCTCCAAGGTTTTTACAGAATTGCTGCATTTCCAGGGAAGCCGAAAGCAGAAATAATGTCCATTCTCATCAAAGAGAAGCAATCTGAACAAATGAATCACCAATTCAGGGGAATCTGCATTAACCTTGAAAATGAAAATTAGCTTTAATAAATTGGCTCCTTTGCAACATTGCTTGGATTTGCTTTATTTGACTCTGCAACATGAACCAGAATAGTTCATCAGTTTTTTAATAGATATTTTAACTAGACCATGCCACTTGAAATACTGAAAGGATGTTAAAATTGGCCTAAATGAACAGCGGAGAGCAAACGAAAGACTGATCTAACCAAAGAGTCCAGTCTCATGCCCAAAACAAAGAGGTTAAGAAAATGTGTATTTAAAACTTCAAATAAGCCTTCCAAACTTTTTGGTTTATATCAGACCTGAATCTTGAAGATTGTCTTCTGTTCCTGAGATGAGTGCTGAAAAACTCAAGCTTTTCTTTCTACATTCCAGGAGTTTAGGTTGGACAGGGTTCTCTTGATCTATGCTGGATTTCTATGTTTGTCCCAAGAAAATGAAATCAGAATAGTGATCTCTAGCATCTACTCCTATTGCTGCTGGATAGGAAGGGCCCGTCTTCCCCCTTCCTCATATTCACTGGTCCCCTACCACCTTCCATGTGCAACCACTGACTTTGAATCCACGCCTTGAGAAACTAGGATACAGACAGTAGAAGAACAAGGAAGAACTACATTCAAAACTACATGAGAAGAAAGTAGAAATCTGCGGAAGAGACATGTGGGAAGAGACAGGGGAAAGAAAAGAGGAACCCCATGACATGGGGAAGAGGATGAAGGAAGCAAATGAGGTAGCAGAGAGGAGATTGAGGAATGAACTTCAAAGACTGGGATGAAAAATACTGCATGAGAGAAGCCTAAAGTAGGAGGAGGTCCATTGGCCAACCCACTAAAAACAGATGAGGGAAGTAGAGGACTCAATTCTGTCTTGTGGAGAAGCAAAATAGGGCTTCTCCCAGAGCAAGCCATAGTTATGGTAGAGAAATGCATAGCTGGCTTGGCTCTCTCTAAGTGTTTGGGTTAGTTGCTACACAGGGCTTTCCCATCTCTGCTATCAGACATACTTTTACTATGCTTACAAATGTGCTTGCAAGACCACAAGAGCAGCAAATGTATTTTTGTTATGCACGGATACTCCAGAGATCCCGAACCAGGAGACAGCCAGTCTAGGTGTTAGGGATAAGCAATCTGGTAAGGTAGCTAGTCCCACTGGGTCTAAAAGTAAAAAAGGCCAGCACCATGGACTTCAGTGAGCCAGCAAAGGACCCCAAATCTTTATAAACAGCCTGAAAGTCAATGAGTTTCAAGGATCTCATCTCAGTACACTTTGTGGGGGGCTTAAATGAGAATAGTCTCACACACTAGAGCTACTCCCAGCACCTTGGGTTATTTGGAAAACTATCCCTGGATGAAAGGTCCCAGCTGCTGGCCATTATCATTTATCACCTGCTACTCATCTTTCTGCACTTCTGTAAAGATAATTCTGTGTGCTTATGATGCCTCTTGAAGGAACTTCCACTGGATCTAATACTCTTCCTGAATTATTATTATTAATTATACATCTGTATTCACATATATGCACATGCAAACACATGTCCTGGGGCATGTCAGAAAGCAAAACAATTTCTAAAGTTTGGGGGTTTTGTTTGTTTGGGGGCTTTTTACATGGTTATCCAATGGTGGCTCCTCTTTTAAGGGTAAGAACATCCCTTTGCCTTCCAGTCCATTCCCAGTCCAGAATGCTTCTCTTCTCTGACGCAGGATGCAAGGCATTAACATCCCAGCTTGGCGAGGAGGAGGAGAATAGGACAAGGCCTCAGCGGGTCTATGGAAGTCTGAAGGGCCAAACACGAAAGCATCACCGGCATCTCTGTTCCCCGCTATGACATGTGGGTAGCAGCAGTGTAGCCTCGTGCTCTCCTCAAGGTATTTCCCAGCTACCAGTCTCCTATTGTGATACAGAAACTGCAAGATGGAAAAAGCCATGTAGCCATGCTTGTACAAATCAGGAACATGCATCTCCATTAATCTCCTGGCCACCCAAAAAACAGATATTAACCTTTTGGTTCATTATAATCTGCCTGCTAATCTCACTACGCTCCAGGACCTCTTCCCCCGTGAACAGTTTTGCTCTCCCACTTATCAGGTTACCCTTCCTACTGCATCTCAGTTGTGTTCCAGCTTGTCTTGATAATGTCTCTTTGCTCTTTTTACAACTCTGCTCCCTTCTTTTTAGCAGAATATGCTTTTATTTACACATGGATTTTTTTTTTTTTTACAGGTTATTGCTCTGTTCATTACTTAGCTCAAACTGTGTCTTCTGCTCCATTTTCCAGACCTGAGAGAGAGTACTTTGTGCTCAAAAGCTTATCCAAAAATCTCTCCCAACCATGCAGTTGGTCAAATAAAAAAAATAAAAAATCATTCTCTAAAAATATCGTTGCCTCTCACATTTCCTGGACTGTCACAGCTGCAGCACTCCAACACTATATTAATATGTAAAATCAATACTTGAAGCTGAGAGTTTATCACCACTAGGTGGCATCTGGATACTTCACTGCTAAGTCGTTGAGTGCCGGGTGTTACAAGATAGTGAACACTTTCTAGCGGACTTTTCTCAAATGGAAGAGAATATATTGTGTTTGCTTTGAATGCAAAAAGTCAGCATTTCACTCGAATGCTGCATAGAAAAGCAAAACCAATGTTGAACAGATTACCTGGCTGCCTTCTTAAGTAGCCTTTCCCTTCATATCCTTGTTCCTAAAGGTCCCACACGTACATGATATCCTCTAGTTCAGTGGTTCTCGACTTTTTTTTTTTTTTTTAACCAGGACCCATTTGTAAACCTCAATGGCCAGTCCTGACCCAGTGCCCCTCACTCCTGACCCACACCCCCAGTGTGTGGGGAGGGAGGGGGTGGGGGGAGGGGCATGGGGACCCCCAAGCAGCCCCTCACAGGCAGGAACTCTGCCAGCCTGCAAGGGAAAAGCCACTGTTTCCCACATTTTTCTCCTTCTAAAGGAGAACCCATTTTTAAAAGTTTGTTTGCAACCCATTCATATATTCTTGCACCCCACTTTTGGGTCGTGACCCCCAGGTTGAGAAATGCTGCTCTAGTTCACCCACAAGGTATGGTGGAAGCACTGGGGAAAGCTTTGACCTGTGTTTGCAGGAAATCAGACTGAACCATCATGCTGGTTCTTTCTGAGCTTAAGGACCTATTAATTAAATTGCAAAGTTAATTGAGGTCTCACATCCAAAGGGGAATTCCCCTCGTTTTAAACTCTTCACTAAATACAAATGATTTTTCCGTTCTCCAGAATAACTGCAGCAGCAACCAAGTCAACTTCAGGCAAAAGGCCCAAATGCAAACACTCCTCCAGTGATCCCGTGGGTGACAGGTGAGAGAGTGAGGCTGGCCTGTGCCTTGTAAAGGATGATTGAGCAAACAGGGCTTCGGACTGGCACTCGCGACCCAAATACAAGTCCTGACTCAGATGCACACTTCCTGCAAGTAAATCCACCCTGTGCTTCAACTCCCCATATGTAAACTGGGGACAGCGCTGTGGTATAAGAGTTGTACAAGCAGACCTGGTCAGGATAGTTTCATAGTTGTTAGGGCCTGGAAGGGACCTTCCAGTTTGGATTTTTGGTTACAAAACACACGTTTGTCAAAATGGAAACTTTTTATAGGAACATACCAGCTTCAGGAGAGATTTCCTAGATCCAAATGGAGCCCAGAGACAAACCCGCAGTAGGATAGCCAGTAGCTCAGTCAACAGGGCATTCACCTGGGGTTTAGGTCAGGAGACACAGGTTCCCATCCCTTCCCTGCTGGATTTGGCCTGGTAATTTGAGCCTCTGTTTCTCACAGTTCAGGTGAATGTCCTGCCCACTGGGTTACTGGCTATTCAGATCATCTAGAAGAAGTGGGGTAGCAAAAAAAAACCTCAGTCTCTGATTCATCTCAAAGAAGGAAACCTTTTTTAATTGATTTTTTTTTCACAGGACAGGACAACAGCTTCCTGCCCCACTCTCTCAATAGGTATGCCCTCCACTGGACACAATCATTTTAACATAGACACAAGCAGAGCTGAGGGTTGGACTAGATGACCTCTCAAGATCCGTGCCAGCCCTATTTCTCTACAACTAGCAGAAGCCTGGCAGTACTTTTGCTTTCGTCACAGGTAGCTGAGTGAAGTTTGTTTTCAGCAAGTTATGGCTGAACAGGCATCTGTAGATAATTCCAGTACCTCCATGTTGGGTAGAGACATACTAGCAGACCCCCAGGCTCACTGCTGGGATGTTTCTCAATCCATTCGACATGAAAGCAAACATAAATGCCTCTAAAGAGCGGCAAAGACAAACCCGCCGGGCAGCTGTTTGAGCTCAGGTGTGAAACCACCTCCAAGTTTCACTGTCTCTCAGCCTGGGGGTGGCAGCAGCACTTCCTGAGAACGGTCCCATCTTCGTCCCCCGACGCCCGCTGCAGGGCCTTTTCTTGTCTGCCTTTGGTAAAGGCTTTCTGCTGCACACACTCTGATGGTCATGCAGGTTTTCGCTGGGGTTTTCTCAGCAGCATCTTGTGGGTTCGTACAATATTGGTGCCTTCAGCTCTTCCCTTCCTCTTGTTGTGCAGCTTCACTGGAGCCGTTGGTCCAAGGTTAGCTCTAGGAAGAAAGAGATCGTCACACCAGATCAAGTGCACTGCTCCTTGTGTCTAGTATCCTGTCTTTAAGAGGGGGCATCAGGAAGGCGGGAGCTGTGACTTCGGTGTGAAGACACAGAAAAATTCACCCCATGGGAAAATATTCTTCTGAATGCCTAGACACTAAAGACGGACTTAAGTCCAAATGCTTAAGGTTTGACAACTTGGCCAATTCACTGTAAAGCTTTCACCATCCAGACTTTAGATCTGTGTGACCCATCCCACTTTGAATCCTATATTAAATGCTTAAATGCACAAGACATACGTCTCTGTGTGAGTCAGGTCCAGCTTTGATGACTCAAGCTGTGTTTATACCTGAGATGAAGTGGATGACTTTGCTACTTTGTTTTGCAACAGAAAAAAATTGTTGCAAGCAAACTGTTGTGTGTAAACTCATCACCAGGGATTTTCCCGTTCAATCTACAGGAATTGATTTACATAAGACATCCTCATTTTATTAATACTAATATAAGCCCTATGACTTATAAAGAACTAAAGGCTGATTTATGAAGATGGATTAAACGATGTGGAGAATTCTGCAGCCTTCACATTCCCTAATGCTACTTGACCTTCAGGAGTGGCATTGAAAGCATAAAGAGGAGGTATGCAAAAGTGCCGTAACTGCAGCTTGGATAAGCAAAAGCTGAGATGATAATCGGGGATCCAGGTTTTCCGTTTGCAACAGAAAGACACAGTAAAACCTGGTTTTTCTTCTTTAAAGCAAAAAAACACAGGTTAAGGAGGTTTTCCCTTGCAGGCTGGCAGAGTTTCTGCTCAGCAGCAGCAGGAGGCACGACTTTGCACCACTGCCCCGCTGCTGGTGTGTGGGCAGCGGGTGCCTCACCATGGCAGCGCTGGGCTCACGGCAGCAGTACCGAGCTTCCTCACCTGGCCCTGCTCTGCCTTACTGTGCTGGGTCCTTCCCACTGGGCTGAGGAGGCCCCAGGGAGGACACCAGGGTGGGGAGCCCCAGATTGCAGCGGCAGCCTGCACCTGCCCACCTCCCGCACCCGCAATGGGCTCTGCCCCGGCCGTGCTACCCATGAAGGAGAGGAGCCACAGCAGCCACCACCTGCTGCAGGTGGCAGGCAGGGTTTGGGTACTGCTTCAGAGAGCAGGGGGCTGCAGACCTGGGTCCCTGGCCCCATAACCCTGGCAGCTGGAAGCCCCCTCTGGGCTAGAGGCCTGGGGAGCTGTGGGTGGGGAGTGAGGGGCAATGGCAGGAGCAGGGCACTGGCGTAGCAGGGCTGCTCAGTCCCACTGTGCCCTGGTGAGTGAAGGGGCCAGGGAGAGCTCTGATTTTCCATGATAAAAAAACCCAAAATCAAATGCCAAAATGTATAGGTATTCAGAATTAATTTTGCTATAGTGATTGAGGCCCTGGGAAGCTTCCGTATTGCTTTAAAATTGTAACTATATCAATAAAACATTATGTTAAGCTGATACCTATATACATATATACATATACATATATATATATATATACACACACATACATACACACACACACACACATACATACACACACACACACATATATACATATATATACACACACACACACACACACACACACACACATACATACATACATATACACACACACACAGAAAGAGAGAGAGGCATTTCATTTAATCGCGGATTTGGGCTTTTTTTAATCAGAGAATTTGTGATTTTTAAACACAGAAAACCAGGACCCCTGATGATAACCACTGCGACATGGCAGTAGTAAAGTAGGTTTGGGCTGGACAGAGTGTGCACAAACAGTGGCAAAATAAAATGCAGAATAGAGATGATTGAATTGTTTTTAATTGAGAAACTCTCATGAGGACCCACATTTTTTGGCAGAAGCAGACCCATTTCAATGAAACACTTGTATCTGTGCTCCAGCACAGAATTTCTACCCAGACCAGAGAGAGGGGGAGAGAGACTTATGCTAGAATAGCAAGCAGCCCAGTGGTCAAACACTCACCTGAGCTGAGAGAAATCTAAGTTCAAAGCCCTTCTTTTCCTGTAGCAGCAATATTTATTGAGCAGACATAAATTACACGGTGCTCTTCCCCACCCCAAATAGCTGAATTGGGAAGAGCAGGACTTTGCACCTGAAACATTCATATCCTGAGTGCTCTGATCTTGAGACTACTTACTATTCTAGGATCTCTCAACTTATCCCGTTGAAAGTGTTTCACTTTGCAAAATGTAAAATTCATTGGAATAGGCCTTGGTTGCTCACATGAGTACACCAATCACCACTCTATAGCTATTTTATAAAAGAAGAACATTGAAAACACCTGGGTCTTCAACAGTTTTCTTTACTGGTATATCACCCAGTATTTTCTAGATTGGGAAACCAATTTCCCACCCAGCTGATCTCCCAAAGGAAGTCATGAATGTCTCTTCAGGCATGAGACAATGTCCTGTAGAATATAAGCTGCTCTGATAGGAAGATAAACTACGACTATTAGGATGTCTAGGGGTATGAAAATAGGGTAACTGCCTACAG